ATCAGAGAAATGCAAATGAAAACTACAATGAGATATCACCTCACACATTTCAGAATTGCTAAAATCATGGGGCACCTGGGTGGCTCAGTCAGTTGAGCAGCTGACTCTGCTCAGGTCACGATCTCATGGTTTGTGAGTTCCGAGCCCCACATCAGGCTCTGTGCTGGCAGTTCAGAGCCTGGAGCCTGCTTCAGATTCTGTGTCTCCCTCTCTCTGTGCCTCTCCCCCACTTGTGCTCTGTCTCTCTCTGTCTCAAAAATAAACATTAAAAAAAAAGAATTGACAAAATAAAAACAGAGGAGACATCAGGTACTGGCGAGGAGATGGAGAAAAAAGAACACTCATGTATTGTTGGTGGGAATGCAAACTAGCGCAGTCACTCCGGAAAACAGTCATGGAGATTCCTCAAAAAGTTAAAAATAGAACTACTCTATGATCCAGCAATTGCACTACTGGGCATTTACCCAAAAAATACAAAAACGCTAATTCAAAGGGAGACATGCACCCATATGTTTACAGCAGCATTATTTACAATAGTCAAGATATGGAAACAGCCTATATGTCCATTGATTGATAAAGGGATAAAGGAAATGTGGTATATAGATACAATGGAATATTATTCAGCCATATAAGAAAGAAGCCTTGCCATTTGCAACAACACAGATGGAGCTAGAAAGTTTAATGCTAAGTGAAATAAATCAGTCAGAGAAAGACAAATACAATATGATTTCACTCATATGTGGAATTTAGGAAACAAAAAAAATGAACAAAGGGGGGAAAAAAAGAAAGAGATAGACAAACCAAGAAACACTCTTAGCTATAGAGAACTGATGGTTACCAGAGGGAAGGAGGAGGCGATGGGTGAAATAGGTGATGGGGATTAAGGAGCACACTTGTTGCAATAAGTACCTGGTGATTAAAATAAAAACTTTTTTAAAAATGGGCAGAGGATTGAATGGGCAGAGGCATTTTGCCAAAGAAGACATACAGATGAACAACAGGCATATGAAACGATGCTCAACGTCACTAATCATCAGGGGAATGCAAATAAAAACCACAATGAGATATCAACTCACACCTGTGAGAATGGCTAAAATCAAAAACAAGTGTTGACAATATGGAGAAAAGAGAACCCTCATACACTGTTAGCAGGAATGAAAATTAGTTCATCCACTATGGAAAACAGTATAAAGGTTCTTCAAAAAATTAAAAATAGAACTACCATATGGTCCAGCTATTCTGCTTCTGGGTATTTATCTGAAGAAAACAGAAACACTAATTGAAAAATAATATATGTTCCACTATGTTTATTGAAGTATTAGTTACAATAGCCATGATATGGAAACAACCTATGTGTTCATCAATAGATAAATGGATAAAGAAGTTGTGATATATATACACAATGGAATACTAGTCAGCCATAAAAACAGAAGTGGTCTTGCCATTTGTGACAACATGGATGGAGCTTGAGGGTATTATGCTAAGTAAAATAAGCCAGACAGAAAAAGACAGATACCATTATAATTTCACTTATATGTGTAATAAAAAACAAAACAAGGTAAAACAAATCAAAACTCATAGAGATAATAGATTTATAATTGTCAGAGGGAAAGGGGGTTGGGAGGTGGGCAAAAGGAGTGAAAGGGATTACTGTATAGTGACAGATGATAACTAGACTTATTGTGGTGATCACTGTGTAGTAAATACAAATACCAAAATAGTATGTTGAATACCTGAAACTAATATGATGTGAAATACCAATTTTACCTCAATAAAAAAATTATTGTAAAAAAGAAAACAGAAAAAAAAAAAAAAGAATAGAGCCAGGTGATGAAAAAAAGAAACAGATACCTGATAACATCATTTAAGCACCTGGAGACAGCCATGCCTAAAGCAGTAAACTCCTGTACTTTTCTGTTATGTGAACCAATAAATATTCTTCTATTGCCTAAGCTGGTTCAAGTTAGGTTTGTATCACTTGTAAGGAAAAGAATCCTGACCAATTTATCTCCATTCTCATACAATAACTCCATAGTTACTTTTTAGGAAGGGAAAATATTTCCCCACAATTATATACTTTACAGTGGCACAGAAATTATGTTCTTTCTTTTCCCTCTTTTTTTTTTAACCTCAACTAGCTAAATAACTGTGCTAAGATTCCCAATTAGTCAACATTTTTTTAATGTTTATTTATTTTTGAGAGAGAAAATAGAGTAACAGAGTGTGAGCGGTGGAGGGGCAGAGAGAGAGGGAGACACAGAATCCGAAGCAGGCTCCAGGCTCCGAGCTGTCAGCACAGAGCCCAACATGAGCTCAAACTGACGAACCATGACAGCATGACCTGAGCCACGACCTGAGCCAAAGTTGGGCGCTTAACTGACTGAGCCACCCTGGAGCCCCTCAAGTAGTCAACATTTTTAAACACTATGCTGCCTTCAAGTAACTTGTGAAGAGGTGTGGCCACACAGATATGCAGAGTGACTGGTCTGGTCCTAATATAGAGGTAAAGCCACCTTGGGTTTGTTAACATGATCCATCTTATTCTTTCATGATTAGGCCATGAAATATACACAAAACCTACTGGGTATTATTGTCAGCAGCCTGAGACCAATAGTAAGGCTTAACATATTACCTATCACAACCTATACGCATCCCTTCCAAATTTCCCCATTTCTATCAAACTGTCCCTTTCTCCTTTACCAACTATCTTTGATCTACTATCATAATCCATTGCTTCTTTTCAAGAGGTTCACAGAGCCTCTTGAATCTGATGCTGACTTTGTTTTCACAGTCCCAGGTTAAAACCATTTGGCTTTCATGGATCTGGCTAAAATAGTCCTCAGTCACACTTTATCATGGGGCTCCTAATAATGTGTTAAAATGTATTCCCAGATCCACTGCCACTGTATTCAATCCAGACTCCTCACCATCTCTCCTCACCACTCAGTACCTCCTCTTCCTCCTCATCTACCACCTCTAATCTCTCTCCTCCACTCTTTCAGTTGATCCTCTTTTAGGTTTTTTTAAAAGTCCAGTTGAGTCACTATCTTGTGTGGGGTCCACCCTATCAAAGATTGATTTTTTTTTCATTTTTAAAAATAAAATCTCCAAAAAGCAAATTTTGAAAAAGCAAATTTTATACTATAGCACAATTCCTAGGAGCAATTTTATGATAAAAGTGAAAAGAAGAAACCTTTGTGGTTGAATATTTTAACTTGATAAAAATGCTTTCTAGGTTTCATTGTTTCAATGTATTAGTTAAAAACTACACTAAATACTTCCATATGGCAGTGACTTCATTTTTGTGAATAAATAAACTGACCTAAATACATGCCAAGAGAGATTGCTCAACTAAACCCATAAATGTTGGATTAGAAAATATATTAAACTCTAGCCAAGAAGAGTAGAGGCTGAAAGTTAAAAATGTTGTATACAGTTCAGGTCAAATAGAAATGTAGTTAATTTCTAAATCCTCTTTAAACATTTAAAAAAATAGAAAAGCATCAGTGTGCTCCTGAGTCAATTAACTCAAAAGTTTTTTCCACTTTAGAAGTTTATTCTCTTTCAGGCTCGCTCTATTTGAACAGGTAGTTTCTTTTGAGCCTTAAAATTCTTGTCAGAATTCCCACACAAAAAAAATAATAATAAGTAAAACATACATATTACTCTCTATGTTTGGGTTAGCCAAACTCTAAGAATTGTTGTTTGTAGAATACTGAAGTCCTGTTTTAAAGTCTTCTTATGACATTTATATTAATATGGCTACTCCCCACTGAAACTAAAAAGAACACTAAATGGACTGCAGAGGATAAATTTCAGACAGTGACCAATTTACAAGGTCAACAATATGACTTACAGATTAATCATCAGACAAATAATTTAACTTCACAGTCTATGCAATTCAGATTATCAAGGTTCACTTTGTTAACTAAAACCTGATCTGAATGGACATGAGGATATTTATAATTTTTACTGTCTTTATTTACTCATTTATTATGAATCATTAATGGAAAGTACTATCCCAGTGAAGAGGAAAAATTCTAATTTTCAAAACAATCTGGCCTCAGGGATTCTGGATAAAGGATGGGAAGCCGTATCATTATTTCATCGTATTGGAAATGTCGATCCCCTTTCTCCATTGTGTACAGATTTTAGAAACAGTGTCTTCAACAGTAAGTTCCTTAAGTGAGGAGATTAGTCATTTTCACACCTCTCTCATTACCCCAGCTACTCTGAATAAAGTACCATGCTAGGCATTGGGACAGTACAGATAAGGCACGATCCCTGTGTTTTAGATGCTCACAAATTGAGGAGTCATGATACATGCACTCATATTTACCAAATCTGTAAATAAATGCTATAGAATTTCCAAGGTAAGAATGTTCACACAAGCCTTGAATCTCATGGGATCTCTATGAAAGAGGTGACACTTGTGCTGGGTCTGGAAGAACACATAAGACTCATACAAATACAGAAGAGGGAAGTGTACTCCAAAATAAGGCAAATGGCATAAATGCAAGAAATTGGAATGTTCATGACCAGCTCCTAGAACAATGAAATGACAGATTTAGCTAGAATGAGAGGTAGGGGACTTATGTAATATTGATTGTATGTTTTTACCTAGCACTAAACTGGAAACTTGAAACATAACTCTGCCCTCAGAGAACTATAATCTAGTAAAAGGAGACTGATACCCAAAGAACTGTCCTAAAATTTTATAGGTGCTGTGCTTGTGTGACATGAGGATACCAAGGAAGAAATCATCAAATCTGAGTGGATAGCTAAGGAAAGGCTTCTTGGGGAAAGTAGTGATTGAGTTAGTTCATAGAAAATACATTAGTATAACTAACCATGTACTCAAAGCCAGAGGCTGTTCTAAAATGTTATCTAAATGGATCTATATTGCAAGTTTAAAGCTCTTACAAGAAAATTCTACAACCTCTTGGTAGGCTATTACAACATTTAACAGCCTTTACTCTTACAATGTTCTTTTTACTTACCACATGAAGGTCCCTTTTCTTACAAAATTCAGCACGGAATATTTTATAACTTCCAGGTTAAGTTTCCCATGTTCATATCAACATTTCCTAAGAGTGAAAATTAAAGGGGAAAGATATGCTGCTTAAATCCCAATACAGACAACTTTAACTCAGTAACCCTGACACAAAAGAACACCTGATTTAGCCTCAGTGCTGGCAATCTATCTTTGTTTGCCTTCCTTGGGCTGCTATACAAATACAGAGAACAGTACTGCTTTGGGAAACAGGATTAACTAAAATCGAGGTGCTTAAAGTATTACTCAATCCAAACATAAACACGCCAGAGTGTTTATGCATCAGTCGCTCCAAATACCCTTCACAGGCTATTTTATTTCCCACTTTAGTTTACTTATTGTAATCCCTTCTCTTCAACATACTCAGGAACCCTATTAAATGATAGCAAAGATTTTCTCTTTCTAGAATATGGAATTTCTCTCTTGCAATTGGCAGAACATAAACATGCTCAAATTTCTTTAAATTTTAAAATAATTGTATTATTTAAAACCAATTTCCCTGAACCTTCATTTTAATAGACATGGGGTATTCTTTTTCTTTTAATGCATGACCCAGCAGTCCCCAGTTTTCTTAGGGCACTCACATTAGTGGTTTCATGTGCTCAGAGAAAAGACCTACCCCTAATCCAATTTAGATCTCCTCCACTGTACTGATGTAGCATTCACACACACTATAATTATATTGAACTGTGAACGCTGATTTATTATCTGTCTCTTCACTACACTAAAAACTTACAATGTTTTATGTGAATCTCATCCATTCAACATGGATGGATAAATGGGTGGATGGATAGATCAATGGATGGATGGGTGAATAAAGAGACAGATGACAAACCTCATTTAATCTTTATAAGCAGAGATTTTAATTCAACTCTATAATTTCATGACTGCAAGGGCCATGCTTCTTTACTTTTTAATTTTTTTTTGAATTGGTTTTGAAGTTTATTTTTATTTATTTTGAGAAAGAGATGGAGAGCAAATTGGGGAGCAGCAGACAGAGAGGGAGACAGAATCCCAAGGAGGCTCTGAGCCATCAGCACAGAGCCAAAGTGGGGCTTGAACTCACGAACTGTGAGATCACGATCTGAGCCAAAGTCAAGAGTCGAACATTTAACCGACTGTGCCACCCAGACACCATGCTACTTTAAACGTAGTATGTCTGCCATCTAGATGTCTTCTTTCCAAAAGTGTTCATGTCTTTTGCCCATTTCTTCATTAGATTATTTGTTTTTTGGGTGTTCAGTTTGATAAGTTCTTTATAGATTTTGGATACTAACCCTTTATCTATCATCTGAAAATAACTTCTTCCATTCAGTCTGTTGCCTTTTAGTTTTGCTGATTGTTTCCTTCGCAGTGCAGAAGATTTTATCTTGATGAGGTCCCAAGAGTTCATTTTTGCTTTTGTTTCCCTAGCCTCCAGAGGCATGTCTAGTAAGAAGTCGTTGTAGCCAAGATCAAAGACGTTGTTGCCTCTTCGAGGATTTTGATGGTTTCCTGTTTTACATTTAGAACTTTTATCCATTTTGAATTTATTTTTGTGTATGTAAGAAAGTGGTCCAGGTTCATTCTTCTGCATGTCACTGTCCAGTTTTCCAAATACCATTTGCAGAAGAGACTCTTTTTTCCTGCTTTGTCAAAGACCAGTTGGCCATACATTTGTGGGTCCATTTCTGGGTTCACTATTCTGTTCCATTGATCTATGTGTCTGTTTTTCTGCCAGTACCAAACCGAAAATTGTCGAACAAGACATCCAGATGGCTAACAGACACATGAAAAAATGCTCAACATCACTCATCATAAGGGAAATACAAATCAAAACTATAATGAGATATCACCTAACACTTGTCAGAGTAGCTAAGATTAACAACTCAGGAAACAACATATGTTGGCAAGGATGTGGAGAAAGGGAAACACTTGCATTGCTGGTGGAATGCTGGTGGTGCAGTCACTCTGGAAACCAGTATGGAGGTTCCTCAAAAAATTAAAAATAGAACTACCCTAAAATTGAGCAATTAAACTACTAGGTATTTATCCAAAGGATACAAAAACGATGATTCAAAGAGACACCTGCATCCCAATGTTTATAGCAGCACTATTGACAATAGCCAAATTATGGAAAGAGCCCAAATGTCCATTGACTGACAAATGGATAAAGAAGATGTGGTGTGTGTGTGCGTGTGTGTGTGTGTGTGTGTGTGTGTGTACATATATACAATGGAATATTACTTGGTGATCAAAAAGAATTAAATCATGCCATTTGCAACAATGTGGATGGAAGTAGAGTGTGTTATGCTAAGTGAAATAAGTCAGTCAGAGAAAGAGAAGTATGATTTCACTCATATGTGGAATTTAAGAAACACAACAGATGAACATAGGGGAAGGGAAGGAAAAATAAGATGAAAACAGAGAGGGAGGCAAACCATAAGAGACTCTTAAATACAACAACAAACTGAGGGTTGCTGGTGGGGTGTTGGGCAGGGGGATGGGCTAAATGGGTGATGGGCATTATTAAGGAGGCACTTATTGAGATGAGCACTGGGTGTTATATGTAAGTGATGAATCACTAAATTCTATTCCTGAAATCATTATTACAGTATATGTTAACTAACTTGGATTTAAACAAAATTTTAAAATTAATAAAAACAAAATAAAATAATTTAAAAAGTAAATGTAATGTTCAACTAATGAACAAATATATGAATGAAATGAAATTAGTTACCCAACTAATATATAAATTATAATTGACTTTATTTGTACTTATAAAACATTGGAATATCATAAAAATCTGATGTTGCTTTCAGTTATTTTAGTAAACTATCTGGATTTAAAAAAGATATCATTTCGTTTTCTTTACCTAACCAATTATCCACCTATGCAACAACAACAATAACAAAAACTATTAAATATTGCCAGTTATATTCTTATACATCTGGAAAAATAATCATATAGTTCAGAACATTCCTCTAAGTAGTTAAAATAAATATAAAGGTTTAATACTGATATGGGCTGGAAAGAAGAGATACACTTCCAAAAATAATTTCTGAGAACTTATTATATAGGGTGATAGTAGAGAATTTTAAAACTTCAATTTTTAAGTAAGTGAAAAATACATTAGCTAAGTATTTAAGAAATTCCTAAGACCATTTTAACTAGACTTAAAGAATTTTTTTTCTTTTTTTTTTTAACGTTTATTTATTTTTGAGACAGAGAGAGACAGAGCATGAACAGGGGAGGGACAGAGACAGAGGGAGACACAGAATCTGAAATGGGCTCCAGGCTCTGAGCTGTCAGCACAGAGCCCGATGCGGGGCTTGAACTCACTGACCGCGAGATCATGACCTGAGCCGAAGTCAGACACTTAACCAACTGAGCCACCCAGGCGCCCCAAGAATTTTTTTTAATGTATATTTATTTTTGAGACATAGAGCACAAGCGGCGAAGGGGCAGAGAGAGAGAGGGAGACACAGAATCCAAAGCAGGCTCCAGACTCCGAGCTGTCAGCACAGAGCCTGATGTAGGGCTTGAACCCACAAACCGTGAGATCATGACCTGAGCCAAAGTCAGCCACTTAACTGACTGAGCCACCCAAGTATCTCCATTTTAACTAGACTTAAACAGTTCAGCATGATTCAGATCAGGCCCAGGTGTAGATAATAATAAAAGGCTAGTTAAAATCCATCACCTCACAAGTTAAATTTTTTTTCTTGAAATTAGAAATGTTAAGATTTACTTTCTTAGCAACTTTCAAATATACAATATTATTAATATAGACCTTGGTCTTATTGATCCCACTTTATATACAGGTGAACTGACACTCAAAGTGGTCATGTTACAAGATGACACAATAAAGTAGTGCCAGAATCTAAACCCCAGATTATCTGGGTTTAGTTCACCAAAGTAAAGATGTGATTCTCAAAATGTATAAATTACTGCTATTTTCATACTCATTATTGTTTTGACATTATGTTCTGGGGCAGTAATTTACCATAATAGTTGTGTTACTTAAATTCAATTTCTCCCACTTGTAAAGAACAAAAATAACACATATCTACCTCTATCAGCATCTCTAATAAAAATTATTACTGTGATTAAATTGAAGAACTTCTTTGGACCCTCAAGGCCACCCATTCATTCACTAGCAGGAATGTTTCAAAAAAAGTTCCAGAGACAGCACTGGGAAGCAGACCTGTGCACAATCCCAGGGAGGAAACACAGCTTCAGATTCCCACAGTAGCCACAGACATGCCTTACTTCCTCCTCTCCTTTACTGTCATCCCCTTTTTCCATGCTTGGTTTCACTAGCATTTTTCCTATTGTCTTACTTTTCCCATTTTACCATTTTAAGCAGAATATTGTATACAACTAAAGCAGTATACAAACTGAATTAAACTTCCAGGATACAGAAGTGTTTAAATCTGGGAAACATATAGTTTTAATATAGTGAAAATGGTTTAAAATGGAAAAATTATATTGCAAAACTATATTTAACCTTTTAAGACAGCCATCATTTATATTTAAGAGACAAAAAGGTTTACCCAAGAATTCCTAATGACACCTCATTAACAAAGATTTTTCCACTCTTTTACAAAACTTAAGTCTAGATCCTTCATGAAGTCCAGTATGGTACTTATTATTTTTAAAACAAAGTCCTGACCTCTAGTGGCTAAACTGAATTAATTCAATAATTGAATCTACTGAATAATCCTAACATCAAAAAACACACAGCTATTATAACCCCCCAATGTAATTCAGTAGGGAATATACAGTTCCACCTATGACATATTTGTAAGAAAAGAAAAAAAAGAAAAAAAAAAGCTCAAACTTGAATCTGAATTAGCCTCTAGGTCTAACATAACAACCAGGTTAGTGGAAATACAAAGCTAGATAAACAAGGTAAACAATACCAATCTAGAATGTGGGAAATTCTACCACCTAAGATCCATTCTTTACAAAAAGAAGAAAGTGGTGGGAGAGAAAACTCTTACAGATTAAAAGTATCTTAAGAGACATACTATGTAGAATCTTAAAAACAAA